GCAGGAGACCTACACAATATAAAATCAAAACTAAGTTTTTGAACACCATCTTTCAAGAGCAAGCGGTTTACGAATCCTGCATTGAACTCCGAGATTTAAAGAAGACCTAGTCATTAGAAGTTACCTAATAACTGTTATAAGAAGCTAGCCTGACTTCGTCATACTCATATTCTAGAAAGAATGTGAGTCTGATACTGCTCCATTGGGCTGTGATTATGGGACGTGTTTCAACCGAATCAGGAAAGAAAATGCCTCTGCATTCAATTGGATAGACCTACAACCAATCAGAGCAACGGAGTATATGACGCATGTTCTTCATTCATCTTTCCGACCGACAAATGCCGTGATCGCGGTTCTCTGTTCCTCTTTTAAAAGCAATGCGCTGTCGATATCTTCTATAACAGACGCGATGGCGGAATCTACACGATTATTGTTATTTCATAAACAAAGTTCGGGAGGAGCACGTTCAAATAATCAATCCAATCAACTTGTCATCAAACAATACCATGTCTAACGTTACCCTATCAGCATGAGAGGAAGCATATTCACTCTAACACTCCTCGACAGTTTTTCTGCATCCCTCCACCGCCCCGACTCCTCACTCTTGGCTTGTTCTTTCACAGCCAGGAATACGGGGGAGTAGGCCTACTCTGGGTTCGGGCCGAATACCGATCACGGAGCCCTCTCCTCGGACAGCACGTCATATACGCATTTATTCTATCTGACTTATTTGTAAGTGTGAACTCGTGAAATCTCAATTCTCCAGCGGCAGAACTTTGTTGTAAACGAATTCATCCCAAGCGCTCTTTGGTGACGTGAGGATTGCGTAACTGCACCTCATCTGTCAATCATCGTATAAAGCCCGCCCTGGCAATTTGATTGGTCCGAACATTTTTTGACTGATCATAATAGACCAGACCGAACTTCCCCAGCAAAAATTGTTGTGGGCGGGGTTCGGGCTGGCAGCCAGGCTAATAAGAAGCTAGGGGTGGAACGGTACACAGAAGTTACGGTTCGGTTCATACCTCGGTTCAGACGTCACGGTTCGGTATGATTTCGGTACAATGGAGTGAAAAGCAAAACAAAAATGCAGAAGGCATTTTTATAAATGTCTTAAGCCTTGTATTTTTTAAATAAGTTTTATTAATAAAGGCATAGAACCAGTTTATTTGTAGTGCACTGACAATAGTTTTATATAATTAGTTTATTAATTAAATTATTAAAAAGATGAAAAGACTTTGAGATATGTTTGGTAATTGTACCTGAATGAATTTAAAATTAATTAGCTATTTCAGATCAATATATTTGTTTTCCTTCATTTTAGTTAACCCTAACTTTATTCTCATCTGAATTATAAATAGTTGATTTCCGTATAAAATAATACTACCATTCAAAACTTTTGTTAACAGTTGTAGGTTACAGTTCGACAAGAGTTTAGAGTCTGACAAAAGCACAATGTAGTGTTTTATTGCGAGTGTACACAAAAATAAGTAACAATTTGCAGTTTTAATGATGTCCTGTATAAAAAAAATGACGGAGTATGTTTTTATGTTTCCACTGTTCGATCGCGCAGGAGAGATCATTCTCTCTCTCGCACGCGCGCGCACACACGCACACACACACACACACTGTTCGATCGCGCGATTCGCGCCCGCGCCTCTCTCTCTCTCTCGCACACACACACACACACACACACACACACACACACACACACACACACACACACATACTGTTAATCGCGCCTCTCTCTCTCTCTCTCTCTCTCTCTCTCTCTCTCTCTCGCACACACACACACACACACACATACTGTTAATCGCGCCTCTCTCTCTCTCTCTCTCTCTCTCTCTCTCTCTCTCTCTCTCTCTCTCTCTCTCTCTCTCTCTCTCTCTCTCTCTCTCGCACACACACACACTCCAGCATTGCAGTCTTGATCGCAGCCTGTTCATTGCTGCGTTCACAGTCACACCAAAAGCGAATAAAGCGAAATTTATCGCTATTTAAGAGGTTTTTTTTGTACCGTGTATTCTCCGTGCAAATTCGTGCACCGAACCGTGACGCCCGTACCGTTTCGGTTCGATACGAATACATGTACCGTTCCACCCCTATAAGAAGCAGTCGTCAGTAAACTAAAGGAAACACAGCAAAAGTTTAGGATTATACTGCTGTGATATCTTGGTAAAGATGAATTTTTAACCACTGATTCTTCACATGCTCGTCCTTGGTTGGTGGAAAAAACCCCCGTTACCGTCACATTGTAGAGCACAGCGCCGTCCTCTCGACATGATGCTGTCCAGTGTCCACAGGAATCAGCTGCAGTGTTTGAGGTTCAAGTTTTCTCTGGAGTCTGTGCGCGCAATAAGTGGGCGGGCAATATGCTAATGTTTCGTCTTGACGTCAGAACGAAACGGCTTATGACTCGTTTGAAAAACGATTCATTTCATTGACTCAGTCGACTCTTACTTTTGAAAGACAATAACTTTATATACGGTGCACTTTCAGATTAAAAACTTTGCGGGATGTTTTCATTCATTTAGAGCAGGGGTAGGCAAGTTCGGTCCTAGAGAGCCGCTATCCTGCAGACTCAGAGTTTGGCTCCAACACTGAAAAAAACCTCTCCTGCCTATAGCTTTAGTAATCCTGAAGACATTGATTAGCTTGTTCAGGTGTGTTTGATTAGGGTTGGAACTAAATTCTGCAGGACAGCGGCTCTCTAGGACCGAACTTGCCTACCCCTGACTTAGAGCCATGTTACTCACTACAAAAATCTATAATAGGGGCCCTTTGAAGTCTGTTGGATTCTGATATGCTGTCGTTGTTTATCATTCATTGGCTGGAAAAAATTGTTCTGAAAGTGATATCGTTTCTCTGTACCTTTATCGTTATAGTTGTGTGTTGTGGACTCTACTATTGTTTTATATTTAGAACGAGTTTTAGAACTATCTTTATAGTTATTATCGGCCTTTCATGTTTGGCAGCGTGATCGTGTAACTGAGATTTTTCAGCAAACATATTGCGCATACTGCGTATGTTGCTATGTGTGCCATTTGTTTCTCTATATGAGTGTTGTTGTGTGGGACAGTTATGGCTCTGTGTGTGTGTAACTGTGCCAGTGTCTTCGGTTCTTCTAGCCAGCTGTGAGAGGTTCAGACAAGCCCTCTATTGTGGTGAATGGAGTTGTGTGTTTGAATGGGCAGAGCTGCCAGCTCATTAATGGTGTTGTGGGGTTTGGCACAGGGCGAAATGAAGAGAAGCACTCCACTAAAACTACTTTTTCAAATGGTGTGGCTGGTTTAAGAAGAAAGAGCAGGAGGGGATTTAATTCCACTACAGTGATGGCAGATGATGTAATGTAGACTCAGATGTGTGTGATTGTTAATGGAGATTGAGTGTTGGGGATTGGACTTTAGGCTTGTATCAAGTACTGAATATTAATGAAATGTCTTTGTGTCCTTTTTTTTGAAAGGGTTCACCCAATTAATTTGAGCAAATAAACACATTTCTCAATTAAGTGATACGAACTGATGAAAGAAACTTTATCCTGATAAATTCATCCTTATTTTAAATAACTGTAAACTGTTTTTAGATTGCTACATTCCCATGGTGCAAAAGTGTCAAATTTAGTTCTGCAAGCATTTAATTAATGTACACTACCATTCAAAAGTTTGAGGTTGGTGAGATAAAAAAAAAAGATAATAATGTGAAATATTATTACAATATATTTTAAATTGTAATTCAGACCTCCTATGATCAAAGCTGAATTTTCAGCATTATTACTCCAGTCTTCAGTGTCACATGATCCTTCAGAAATCATTCTGATATGATGATTTGATGCTCGAGAAACATTTCTTATTATTATCAATGTTGAAAACAGTTGTGCTGCTTAATATTTATTTTTTCAGGATTCTTTTATAAATAGAAAGTTCAAAATAACATTATTTATTTGAAATAGAAATCTTTAACATTTTAAAATTGAACTTTTTTTTTTGTCTTTGTCACTTTTGGTCATTTAATGTGTCCTTGCAGAAAAAAAATATTATTATTATTATTATTATTTAAACAGCCTTACTGACCCCAAACTTTTGAACTTTTAAAGTGTATTCGTTTTATGAAAATAAACAAAATCTCTCCAATCAACATAGCAGAAAAAATGTTTTGATAAAGTTACAGGTTACTTTTAAGACAAATTAACCCAAATTACATTCTTAATACATGCAAAAAAAATGGTTTCATTGTTGTTTTACATGGTAATATGGAAGTAAAATGGTTTGCAAACAGCATAAAAAAATAAACATTTTTAATATCAAAATATCCTAGCTGGGCAGTGAAGTAAACCATTTGATTTTACCAAAATGTATGGTTCCCTAAATTTGAATGAGAAATGCAAACAACCTGATCAAACAGGAAACATTCTGTGTGTGGACATAGATCAAGGACCCCATTCCATCTCCATCTTATTACCTTGTATCTTTTGAAGAGTTAAAGTCAAGCTGGTGTCGGATCAGGGCAGTTTTGGGGCAGTTAATTTTGCTTGGGATGAGCTTATGTGTCCAGATGGCCCAAAGAGCAGCAGGTAGTCTGAGAGCCAGAAACCCACACACAAACATTGAGCTTAGCAAAATCACCTTCCCTTCTCATATTCCCTCAGTGAAGCAGACAAATGTGATAGAGAATCTTTGTTCATCATAATTGTTTGTAAGTTTCTGTAACGTGCTGACTTGTGTTTTATTTGGGAAAGGAAATTAAATTCTGCAGAATATGCACATACTTTTATGAATGATTGTTACTGTTCTGCTGTTTTGCATATGGCCTCCGGATTTCCATATGTAGCATTAAATTACATGCATTGCAATCCATCATCTGCTTAAATAATTTAATTTCCTTTAGGATAAGATTATCAGCATGACCTAAGAGTAGCAGATTCTGTACTTTATTCACTTCATATTTGAGCTGATGTGTTTTTGTTTTTACCATATGTAATCGTGGCATTTTCCCCTCTGCAGGTGTTTGAGGCCAATGACTTGTTTCAGGGCCAGAACTTCTCCAAGGTCTTGAATTGTTTGGTTGCACTCAACAAAGCAACTTCAGGTGAGGTGTGTGTGTGTGTGTGTGTGTGTGTGTGCTTAACCATATTTTGGGGACAAATTTGTACCCAGAAGTGAGCTAAATCTGACAAAACCTCCTTTTGAGAAGGTACTAGGAAGGCACTGATATGAAAATGTTGGCCGATACTGTGATAACCGATAATTCTTTCTGTTACGGTTAGAGCTTGGTTATACAATAAATTTCTTTGGAATATCCCTATTTAAATGTGTGTGTGTGTGTGTGTGTGTGTGTGTTTTGTTGATCATTTATTCTCTGGTTGTAGAGTCCGGTGGTGGGAGTAATTCTGTGTGTTCTCGTCACTCGTCCTCTCTGCGGATCAAGTCCTTTGACTCGTTCAACTGTTCGTCCAATAACAGGAGATCATCCAGACACAAGAACAACCAGTACCGCAGTCTGGTGAGAATCGCAACCACTCCACACCCTTATGAAGAATAAAATGCCTTTTCTAAGCTCCTGGAAAACAGACTGAAATTATTTTAAGAATGATTGTCAAAGGTACTGGTCAATTCTCTGCGTGCAACAAGTTTTTGATTGGAAAAAAACACATTGTACACCACCAAATTGAAACCTCACACAAATACGCTGAATGAGAAACTGTTAAAAATGCTCTCTGTGTTTTCTCCTCTCTTTCTCTCTAGGACATGTCTGAAAACAGTGTCCCTCAGGTGCTGGTGAAAGCTAAGTTCAACTTCCAGCAGACCAATGAGGATGAGTTGTCCTTCAGTAAGGGTGACATCATCCAGGTGATGCGGCAGGAAGATGGCGGCTGGTGGGAGGGGTCTTTCAATGGCAAGAGCGGCTGGTTTCCTAGTAACTATGTCAAAGAGATCAAAGGCTCTGGTTAGTATTTGCCACTTTTAAACCTTTAAAAGTTTTAGTTGCAGAAGTTGAACCCTGACAAATTCTTGTAGAGGAAGACAACAGATATAGGCTCTTGCAAGACCAGACAAGCAAAGTGAACTAGAGGGATTTGTCTTACTCATACTCTTCTCACAGACTGCCAAGAAAAGCAGAAGAGATGATAAGGGAACTTTCAGAGACTTTTGTTGAACCCATTTATCTTTTTTCTGTGTCCTAGTGTTAGCATAATATTTTCATAAAAGACCTGCTGAGTATGTGTATAGATCAGAAAATTGCAATGGGCAGCTGCATTTGGGCTGTCAACATTTTAGCCAGCTTAAAATATTTGAGTGATATATATTTTTTTTTTATTTGAAGACTCACTCTACGAGGCACTACGAGTTGAGAATGTAAAATCTGTTCAGGTCCATGCCATTAAAAGGGCGATTAAAGGAGGACTTACAGGCTTAATGAAAATGTGCCAAAAGAGAACTGAATGGCTGCGCTCTGCAAAAGCCAAAACTGTGAGATTATGTGACCATTACAGGCTTACTTGGGGAAAATGTGTGCTCATCCATTCCATGTACAGGTGCTGGATACAATGCAGCAATCTAAGAATAAAAAGAGTAGGACACTTCATCTGAAGACCCGATTGTTCCAAAATTACTCAAATTCTACAAAATTCTGCTGATCTAGTTGTGCCAGTACTTTAGATTTGACCTTTCCCTGCGAACATTTTCACCCCCCCCCCCCCAAAATAGATTTGAAAGACATCTCTTATGCTCACCAAGGCATTTATTTGATCAAAATCAAATATAAACTACAGTAAAAGTAATATTGTGACATTTTTTACAAACTGTTTTCAATTTTAATATATTTTAGCATTTAATATATTAGCATTTAATACTTAGTTACCACAGTTATAGTTGAAAAATGATAACGTGCAGTGTTTCGTGTAAACGGAATTAGGAATGAAATGTACCATTGATTGTCACACTGTCATAGCCTGGGAAAACCCAGACAACTTCCGGCAAATTTAGATTTGCTCTGAAAGTTAGTCTGGCAAAGAGCTCATTCAAGCCCATTTCCAATCCGTCGAAATCGAGGCACCAATCAGAAACGTTGGGGCGGGCTTTACACGATGACGACAGTGCTGGGATTTTGAAGCAGATTTTGTAGCCTACATTACAAAGATGGATGCCGCCGTTGAACATCACTCGTTTGAATCAGCTATCGCGTCTGTTTTAAGCGATTTGAACGTTTCCTTTTTGTTAAAAACCGAGCAAAGAACAACACTCGGAGATGTTTCTCCGCCGCTCTGCAGACGTCATCTCCTTCATCGCTCGGATTGGTTTTTGGTCTATCCGTGACGTCCGTTGGTGACGCCCCTCTGGAAATGATTTTTCTATGACGCTTTGCCAGACCATAACTCGGTTACAACTGAGAATGGTCTGGTTTTAACCAGGCTAACACTGTCGTTCTTATATTCACAGTTCATCCTTTTTGATAAAGTTCAAAATTTATACACTGCCATTTGCACTGTTGCTGTAATGTCTTCCTGATGACAAAACTTTTATTCAGGATTATAGCGAATGACTTCAATCAAAACCAATTGAAGTCATTTAAATAGGTCCGATATACTTTTTCTGGTCTACGAGACTCGCGCATATGATCCACTGTGCTATCGTGTCTCGGAGCAGTCTGTGTGCGCGCAGCGGCGGTCTGCGTGACACTAACGTGAAACCAGACTTCATTCACCCCGATGGAAAGCATATTTACACTGTCTGAAAATAAAATATCCCCTATATAGTGCACTATGTGCCATTCACCATGTAGAAAATATTAAATGTGTGAACAAGTGAACGATTTTAACTGCAGCTTCAGCGTCTATTTATAATGCAGGGGGCGGGGCTTTAGATTCTAGAGAGCATTTGATTGGACAGAAAATCTGATGAGAAGCTGAAGTGCAGAGTGATGTCATCAAAATCACTGATCCATATTGGCGGAAGTGTTTTGAATGCTTATATCTTCTAAATGCAAATGTTGTCAGTGTTTTAGAGCACACTAGCTGATAGATAACAGTAAGCCTAACATATTCATACTAAAAGCCAAAAAACTTCCATTTTGTTTTCGTGGGGACTTTTAACATTTTTGTGGAAACTAATACTTTTTCTTCCAGGATTCTTTGATGAATAGAAAGATAAAAAGAACAACATTTATTTGAAATAGAAATCTTTAAAAATGAAATAAATACTTCACTGTCTTCACTGATCAATTTAATGCTGAATAAAAGTATTAATGTCTGTAGGTACTGTATATTTTAAATAACCAGCTCTTACGAAGCCTTATCTCAGTGTATGCATGTTGTAGTATAAACAGAACCTCTGACCCTCGCTCTCCAGTTTAAACATAAATAGCATATACACATCATGATGCCAAACAGATGCTTCCCTCGCATGTATGGGGAAATGGCCATAATGTGTATTCAGTCCAGCTTGAATGGAAATAGTTTCGGATGACATCAGAGTTTGAACATCCAGAGCTGAACAGGAAGGAAACACAATCTAACAACAAAGACAGGAAGTGCAGCGGCCAGAAGACACCATTTCCCTTTTCCTCTGAATATGGCTTCACACTCCAGTTTACTCCACTCTCTGAGCACTTAGCGATCCAGACTCTTTTATATGATTTACTTGTGGTGAATACATCACTTGTAGTAGACATTAATAGTGTATTGATTTCATATGTAATCTCATAAATGGCTGCAGGCTAGGAACGACTTTAGAGTAAATGAATGGATGCTGACAAAATTGTAATTTTGGGTGAATTATTCCTTTAAAACTAGATTTGCTCAAATCTCTAACTCTAAGTATGAGCAGTTGAAAATGTGATGCTTACCTAATTGCAGAAACTGCCATTTTTATTGCAGATATTTTCCATCAATTTCCCAGGAAGTGGCGATTTTATTCTCTTGAACACATGGAATGGAAACGCTGCTTTATTCGCAAATGTTTTATGCGATATTTCAATTTTGCGCACAAGTTTGGATGAAAACGTCGCTAATGATCTGATTGTTCGCATTAGCAAACGCATGATGAGGAATGTTCAAGCTGATATTTTTGATGATTCCTGGAAGTTCACACATTATGGTATTGATATTAGTGTAAATTAACCATATGGATTGAAATGTTCAGACTGACGTAAGAGGTATAATGTTTTCCTGTAAACCCAGATCTCCCCCTCTAGATATCTAAATCTAATATTGCTGCTCTGACTGCTCACTGCAGGAGAGATGTACTTTAATATTCAATAACAGAAACAAGATGCTTCCAGCTGTTGGTCTAAGGTGACCTTCTTACCTTTTGTTCTGTTTTTGCTCTCTTAAACAGACAAACCTGTGTCTCCCAAGTCTGGAACACTGAAGAGTCCGCCCAAGGGCCTTGAGACCACTAACTTTTGCAAGACTTACTATAATGTGGTAAGAGAGATGTGCTGTAGTGTTGCATGTAACGCCTCCCATGTGGAACCAGTTGATTATTTGTGAGCAGAATATTGTATTGCACCAGTATTTCCCTAACCAAATAGGCAAGTACACCACCAACCCTGACTATACCTGACAGATAAGACTAAGGTTTAAAGATGAAAGATATTAGAAATTATGGAGGCTATCACAATGCGATTGTTATAGCTGCATTGAGTCATTTTTAAAGGTTCAGGTTTTTGGAGGTTGTAACAGACAATTTTAGCATCTAATACTTTTATAAAAGATCCCTATGTCTGTTTAACTGGACTTCCCCATTGCACTGCACACCCAAAATGTTAGAACAGGGTAATATGAAATTAATTATTTTAGACTTAAACTGGAGTGGAATCGACTTAAGTAAATACTATTGGCTAATCCTTCTCTTTCCATTCTTATTGACATTTACATCAATATGCCTATAATAAATTTAATGTATATGCTACCATTCAAACATTTGGGGTTAGTAAGATATATATATATATATATATATATATATATATATATATTTTTTATTTTATTTTATTTTTTAAAGAAATTAATTCTTTGATTCAGCAAGGATGCAGTAAATGGATCAAAAGTGGCAGTAAAGACATTTATAATGTTACAAAAGATTTCTATTTCAAATAATGTCTATTCTTTCTATCACTGTTTCCAGAAAATATTATGCAGCATAATTGTTTTCAACATTGATAATAAGAAGAAATGTTTCCTTGAGCCTCAAATCAGAAAATTAGTCTGATTTCTGAAGGATCATGTGACACTGAAGAGTAATGATGCTGAAAATACAGCCTTCCCTTCACAGGAATAAATGACATTTTATATATATATATTAATATAGAAAACAGTTCTTTTAAAGTATAATAATATTTCACAATATTACTGTTTTAAAAAAATCTTACTGACCGCAAACTTTTGAATGGTGTTGAATTTTTTGAGTAACGTTGTGCATAAAACAGTGTGTTGCGAGGATATTCGATTTGTGTACGGGTTATTTTGAAGCAGCGTTTTCGGTTTTCCCAGACTTGACTAATCCTTGAATTTATAGTCATAAGGCTTTTATCTGGGTTTAAAAGCCTTGCCAAACCAGAGTTACTTAGTTAATAATCCAAGTTTAAACACCCACCAGCAGATGCTACTCCGGGTTTAGTCTTGATTTATGTCATTAACTAAGAGAGAGACACAAGTTCAATATCCTGACAATGACAATTCTGCTAATGAATGTAATTTCAGGTCATTTATGTGTGTGCGTGTGCGTTGTTTCCTTTCTTGTCCTCCATTTCCTCCTGCGACTTGTCCCAGCAGCCTCCCTCTTGAGCCTCTGCAAACCCAATGAGCCGTTAACTTGTGTGTGTTGGTCAGACTTTGCCTAAATTGTGCGGACCAAATGTTACCACAAGTATTGTATAGCTTTACAGAAAATCGTGATGACAATGTTTATAATATTTTATTATTTTCATGCCTTAATAGTCGCATTCATCAGATTAGACATGGGCGATCATATAGTTTACATTTTGCGAAGATACAAGCAATCAAGGAGTTGAGAAATGTTATATACAGTAGTATATATCACCCTACTCAAGGAAACTACATGTATGCGGATAAAGTTAGACATACTTACAGTAATGGCCAAAAGTGATGCATGCCAAAAGCCAAATTGTGCAGACATAATCTTTGGCCGGACTGCCATACAAAAGAAATGATGAGCACGTGCAAAAAAAGAGAGAGAGAACCAACAAAATATGAATAACTAATTATGTTGTAGTCAATTTTTTGGTTTTATATACATTTTTTTGGTAACGCTTTACAATTAGTTAAGGTTAGTTAATTCACTAACTAATATTACCTAACAATAAGCAAGATATTAGTTACAGTACTTATTCATCTTTGTTAACTTTAGTTGTTAAAATAAAACCGTTCTTTGTTAGTTCATGTTCATTAACTAATGTTAACAGATACTTTTGATTTTAATAATGTATTAGTAAATGTTGAGAATAAATGCTTCAGAAATGTTAGGTCGTGTTAACTGATGTTAATTGTTAACAAATTAAACCTTATTGTAAAGTGTTACCATTTTTTGCATGGTAAATAAAACCATAGCTGTAGATTGCGTTTTTTTTTTTAACCAAATAATTTTTCCAGATAAATACCGTAACTTGGTTTATTGTTTTGTTTTTCCGTAGTATTGGAAAATCGTTCAAATATTTCTCATATTCTGAAGGTTTAATCAAACTTGTAGGGCCATTTAAAAACCAAAAATCACTTTTGGCCACTACTGTATATTTTATATAAAAAAATTATATAACTTATGTAAGCTTTATATAAAGAGCTGGGCAATAAAATAGTTATATTTTGCAACAAAACAAAAAACAACAGTTTAGGTTTGGTATAGTATATATTGCTTTATGTGAGTGTATTCTAGATATGCAGATAAAGTAGGATAAACTATACATCCAACATTTAAATGTGAGGATCAGTCCACAATCTGCATGAAGAAAATGACTTAAGGCTGGAATACACTACACGACTTTTGCTCTGATTTTTGCAGTCGAGATGAGTCGACAATAGTTGGCAGATCTTGGGCAGCTGGAGTCCGTACTGACCGAGTCTACCCACACAAGACTGCATCCATAATGCGCCTGGCTCGTTTTTTCTCATCTGTCATGCTTTTCATAGCAATGGGGATGTGTTTCTGTGTGAGTTTGCTGTGTTTGGGACTACTTGAAAGTCTGCAAGTGTGTGATCCTCTGTCGTTTAGTCTAAGATTACCAGTTTTTCTCTTAAACCATTTACAAAATCGGCAAGTGTGTGATGCGATCTGTTCCGATTTTTAAAAGTTGTGAAGTGTATTCCAGCCTTTAGTAAACAAACAATCTGATTTGAAAATGTGGAAAGGTTTGTGTGAGGGATAGCTTTAAGGGGATACTTGGAGAGAGAAATCATAGGTCAGTATTTAAACAATGGAAGTCAATGGAAAGTCTCCACTATGATAGAAAAACAGATATGTGAACACATTAGTGTGTTTTGGAGGTGTTGATATAGAAAACCTGTGTGTTTGGGTCTGTGTTTGCATATTCATATGTAAATGTGTTGTTATGAATGTCTGTATTTGGTTATCAGTTCTCACTGGTGTGTGTGTGTGTGTGTGTGTTTGTCTCTCTGTCGTGCTGTAATATAGGTCATCTTTTCCATCTCATTGACCAGGGGAACAGCTGTGCCTGAGGCCCTGCGCTGTCTGTGTCTGTGTGTCTGTGTTGGTTACGTGTCATGTTTAACGGACCCTACTCTTCTAAAGACTGCGTAAGGCAGGCTGGCTGAAAATGAAGAGTGTATGTCTGTGTGTTTTAGGCTGGACGAGAGATTGAGGTCAGGCAGAGTTCAGTGTTTTACAGCAGCGTTAGGGAAGGAGATTCATGTTAAAGACGGTTTGTAATGGTTGTAACTGTCAGGCTGTCATCTCCAGGTGTCCAGTGTTTATGCCAGTGGTTGTTCCGTGTGTGTGTGTGTGTGTTTACACACAAACTTTGACTTGGTCTTGGTTAATTCTTGAGGTACAGATGGTAAAAATGAACATTTTGAAAGTTACTGATCAAGCCCACACACACTGTGTGGAAGCAGATCTCCTATGAAAGATTTTTCGATGTTAAAAGTTCTACGCCTTTCTCATCCCTTACATCTTTATTTATTAAATATTTTAGCTAGTTCATGGCTGCATTGTAACTAAATCTTACATTGGTTGATCTTGTAAATGTTTTTCTGCCTTAAACATGTTTTAAAGTAATTCTGCTTATTGAAAATTTATTATTAATTTGATCAAGTGGGTAATATTAAGTGGATGAAAAAATCAGCATGGATATATTTTCTAAAATATCACTTTGGATTAATATTGTAATTTGAATTGAATTAAAAAAATATATATTTGTCAAAAAATAAATAAATATATATAAATAAAATAATAATAATAAATGAAACAAATACATTTGAATGTATTTAATGGACTGGTCCAGGATAAAAAAAAAAAAAAAAAACTAATTTTGAGCCTCTCAACTCCTTTTAATATATATATTTTTTGTACCATTCTTAGATAACCTGCAGAATATATCACCCAAAACTTTAACAATTAAAAAAAGTTTCAATGTTTGATTTGTTTCAGCTTGTGTGGATTATGCTTTTTCGCTGTGCCAGTTATTGGCTGCATTTCAAGGTTCATCCTCTCTGTTTGAGGACAGATTTAAGCTCTATTGTGACATTGTGAGGTTTTAACTGACAGGATGTATTCAGTGAAGTCAAATAGCTCCGCACAACCAGAGATGTCTTTAAATCTTAAGTTAGTCTGAAATCAGACTTTATCATGACATGCAAGGATTGGCCCAGTTCTGTCATCTTGTTCTCAGTGTGCCTTTTGTCTGTGAGGTGTTTCTCCTTTTTTAAGGGTTTACCAGCATAATATTCATTCTCCCACATCGTTGTCTGAATGTTGAGCATTAGGATGAGAATAAGAATCAAATCATATGTACTTAGCCCTTTTTTTTCCTGGAGGCTGATGTTTTTAACCCTCAGGATCAGCAGTAGCCATGTCAATTTACATGTAAATATTTATTATAGATTTATATAATGCATGTATGTATACTTCACGGTGTCATTAGCTTTCATTAGGTACTTTAGGCATTTAATATTGTGTCCCACATTTCTTGCACATCTGTTAATATCCATCAGTGTATACTTATAGATGCAGAAAGTTTGTATGATATTTGTACTTGTCTTATCTCATTACACTGTTGCGATATAATAGTTAAAAAATTCTAAAATATAAATTTTAGCTGTCGTACATGCGTAACTGTTGTTGGTTTTTGTCAAATGCACAGGTGGTTCAGAATATTCTACAAACCGAGACCGAATACTGTAAAGAGCTGCAGACTCTCCTCTCCACATATCTGAGAGCATTGCAGCCCACCGACAGGTAAGAACACAAACCAAGAGTCCAACATAAACAGAGATGACAGTAGGTGACTCTCTCTCTCTCTCTCTCTAGGCTCAGCGTGTCAGATATCAGTCACATCATGGGAAATCTAGAGGAGATCAGCTCTTTCCAGCAGACACTGGTGCACTCACTGGAGGAAAGCGTCAAGTAAGAGTTCTCCTTCATTCAACCAGTCAACAGCGACATCTAGTGGTAGTTATGAATTCAGCTCTGTTCTTTCTTTATTTCTAAATGAGGTGTGTGTTGTGTGCAGAGTTCCAGATAGTCAGCAGAGAATAGGAGGCTTCTTCCTGTCCCTCATTCCTCAGATGAAGGGTCTGTACGTGACTTACTGCTCCAACCATCCATCTGCGGTTAACGTTCTTACACAACACAGGTGCGTAACACAACACAATGCACATAATGCTAGTAATGTCTACAAACAACACAGGCACACTCACAGAAACCCGGTGCATTGATGATTAACATGGCAACGTTTTTTTGTGTGTGTGTGTGTGTGTGTCAAAAATACAGTCTATGCAACATTTCTAATGACTTCAGTGGCTTCTTGCATCTATGTATGTTTCAGTGAGGAACTAGGAGAGTTTATGGAAAGTAAAGGTGCGAACACCCCTGGAATCCTCACACTCACCACAGGCCTGAGCAAACCCTTCCTGAGACTGGAGAAATACCCCACTCTACTGAAAGAGATGGAGCGGCACATGGAGGTACTGGACCGCTCTCACTGTCTGTATGTACATTACCGTTCAAAAGCTTGGGGTTGGTTAGATTTTTTCAAACAAGTTTTTGAAAGAAGTCTCTTATGCTCACAGAGGCTGCATTTATTTGATCAAAAATACAGTAAAAACAGTAATATTGTGAAATATTATTGCCATTTAAAGTAACTGATTTCTATTTTAATATCTTTTAAAATGTAGTTCATTCCTGTGATGACAGCTGCATTTCCAGCAGCCATTGATACATTTCTTCAGGATTCTTTGATGAATAGAAAGTTCAAAAGATCAGCATTTACAGCATCTTTCATAACATTATCCCCCGGTTTCACAGACAAGGCTTAAGCCTAGTCCCAGACTAAAATGTATGTTTAAACCGTTTTAACTGAAAGCAATTTGCACTGACGTATCTTAAAATATATCACTGCCATTTGACTGTTTTGTCTCCAGAGGCCTAATCCTGGCTTAATCTAAGCCTTGTCTGTGAAACCAATATATAACCAGTCAATTTATTGTGTCCTTGCTGAATAAAAGTATTAATTTAAATTTTTTTTTAGACTCAAACTCTGACATATCTGTAATTAACATTTTAGAGGATTCTTTGATGAATAGAAAAGGAAAAAGAACAGCAATATAAAGATATATTTTGCAACATTATAAATGCCTTTACTGTCACTTTTGATCAATTTAATTGTGTCCTTGCTAAATAAAATAATTTATTTCTTAAGAGAAATCTCACTGACCCCAAATTTTGTATTGGTAGTGTGAATAAATATAGACTAAACCAGTTTAACTCGCTCATATTCTTCCTTTGTTCTGCCCAGGCGCTTCATCCTGATTATCCAGACATTCAGAAGAGCATGACAGTGTTTAAAAATCTCTCGGTGAGTATTATAAGGTCAACATCATGGATTGTCTTTGATTTTTCACCAGTATTAAAGCATGAAAGATGTGTGAGAATGACGATGAGCTGTTTGTTATCTTTCAGAATGGGATGCTGTGCTTATTTGTGTGTTTATTGTTGTGTCTTCAGGCCCAGTGTCAGGAAGTGAGGAAGAGGAAGGAGCTTGAGCTGCAGATTCTGATGGAGTCTATTCGGGGCTGGGAAGGGGAGGGCATTAAGACCCTGGGCTCGGTTCTCTACATGTCTCAAGTCCTCATCCAGAACCACGGCGCTGAGGTGAATGTCATCAAATAATCTATCTTTAAGCATTCAAACAACCATCAGGGACACCCAGTGTAACAAGCTATATTTACATTTAAAGTAATTAACAAATCATTGGTTAGTTAATAGTTAGAAACGTATTCAAAATGTTTTATATCTTCTTTATGGACCTCTAAAAACTTGGTTTAAGAGGAGCCAAATATCATCCATATTAATAAGAGTATTATAAAAGATTTTAATTTACTGATTTTTGAATTCAGTAAAATGAAAATGGTACAGTCAAAATGAAATCTTTATTGTAATATTCTGCTTCTCAGGAGAAAAACGAGCGATACCTCCTGCTGTTTCCTCACATTCTTCTCATGTTGTCTGCCAGTCCTCGAATGAGTGGTTTCATTTACCAGGTAAATGATTTTGCTGTCATAGATATAATATATTTTTGCATAATTACTGAAATCACTTGTGGTCCTGGCACTCCCATGCATAAGTCAAATGGTGACACTAGAAATATTCCTGATACTGCTTTTCAGATAATACCAAATTGTACACACTGTATATTTTAAATGATTATTTCATATTTTGACAATTTAATAGTTATAATATTGTCTATTGCTGTAATATTGTTTTTGCAATTTTCACAGCTTACATGATGGCGTTCATAAAAATGTAAAACTTTCATATCCAGTTAAATAATGTAATGAATTTAATAAATTCACATTTCATCACAAGATTGCAAAATCCTGGAGGGACCGGATCTCAGACTCCATATTATTCTATTATTACGCTGTTGTCTCATATTACTCCATCAGAATGAATATCGGCTGTTTAGTTGGTCATGTATGCTCTAAAATGTTGACAGTTTATTGGTTGATTGACTTACACAGGGGAAGCTTCCTCTGACTGGAATGGCTGTTAATAAAATAGAGGACAGTGACACCACAAAAAATGCTTTTGAAATATCTGGTAAGTTTCCCAGACAGTTGTCCTCATGGTTTATACATGTTAATATTGCTAGTTGATGATGTTTTTGCATGCAGGAAGTATGATCGAGCGGATCCAGGTAATCTGTAATAACCAGCAAGATCTTCAGGACTGGGTGGATCATCTACACCGGCAGACCAAACGCACTTCAACCAGCAACTTGAAACCACAGAATGTCCCCTGCCATACGGTGAGAAACAGGCACTTTCCACAAACACATACACTACCGGTCAAAAGTTTGGGGTGAGTAAAATCTTTTAAAGTTTTTGAAAGAATATATTTATGCTCACCAAGACTGCATTTATTTGATCAAAAATACAGTACAGTATTATTACAATGTAGAATAACTGTTTTCTATTTTAATATATATTATGAAATGTAATTTATTCCTATGATGCTCCCGACGTTCAGCATCATTACTCCAGTCTTCAGTGTCACATGATCCTTCAGAAACCATTCTAATATGCTGATTTGCTGCTCAAGATACATTTCTTAATATTATCAGTGTTAAAAACAGCTGTGCTGCTTAACACTTTTGTGGAAACGGTGATACATTTCTTTCTTTCTGAGAAAATAAAAAATAAAAAAGCAACATTGAAATAGAAATCTTTTGGGAAATTATAAATGTCTTTACTGTCACTTTTGATCAATTTAATGCGTCCTTGTGGAATAAAAGTATTAATTTCTTTCAAAAAATTCGAAGCCTTACCTATATTGAAAACGACAGAAATGCAGTGATATTCAGTCACTCATCTGATCTTCTCTTTCCCTTTCAGCTGCCGTCTCACCCTCTCACCCCGTCCAGACACTCAGAGATTCGCAGTACAAGCGGATCTCCAGTCTACCACACTCTTCCTCATCTCTCTTCACTTGGAACTCCTCACAGTGGGATGATGTGGGGGCCCCTTGAACCCCCCAAAACCCAGAAGCCCTGGAGTCTCAGCTGCCTCCGACCTGCACCACCCCTAAAACCCTCAGCCGCATTGTGTTACAAAGAGGTAGATGTTATTTGTATGTTAACCAGTGGTGGAGGAAGTACTGAATCTCAGTACTTAAGTAAAAGTACAAATAACAAGAGACATATTTACTTTAGTGAAAGTAGAAGTACCACAATGACAACCCTACTTAAGTAAAAAGTAAAAAAGTACCTGATTTTAAATGTACTCTAAGTATTAAAAGTAAAAGTACTTGCATAACACTTTATTCTCTTAATGTCTATATTCTAATGATTAATAAAACAGTTAATCCTAACTCATTCAACCTAATACTCCTATTATGATGTTCAATAATGATGGAAAAGCTGTTATTTTTTAAGTTTTTGTCACCATTTCTGAACAAGCTTGCAATTAGGCAATATAAATCACATCAAGCTTAATTTGACGGGGTTTGGCTGTAAACGCGATTAATTTATGGCGTAATTCTGAACCTCTTGGCTTGCCATACTAATCCTAACCAAACGTATAATAGGCTACACACGCACCCCACACCACTACTAAATCTACCCATGCGTATCCTATGCACTTAAAAATAAATTTCCGCGTATAAATTGCACGATAAACACACTGCGTGCTATAGAGACGCATTTAGTGTGACCGGGTTGATATGGCAACCAAACTTCACTGGTGAGACAAACGTACGACGAACGGACGGTCAGGATGACGTTTTGGCAGGGGAAAACTGATCAGAAAATGTAACAGAACGTTGTAGAAATGTAGTGGAGTAGGAAGTATAATAATTGCTGCAAAATGTAACGAAGTAAAAGTAATAAGTATACACTATTGATTCTACTTAAGTAAAGTAATGTGAAAAATGTACTTAAGTAAAGAAATGAAGTATTCGTACTTCGTTACATTCCACCACTGATGTTAACACACTAACAGCATCTCTAACAGAAGACTAGCTATAAACCAATGTGTACAGTGATTTACATATGATACACTCTGGATTTGTGAATGAAACAAATGATGTACTAGCGAAACATTGTTTATTAAATACACTTATTTTGTGTGGAGGTATTTTTTTAATTTGCATCTAACTTCCGTATGTCTTCAGGATCTCAGTAAAAGTCCCAAAAGCATGAAGAAGCTTCTGCCCAAAAGAAAATCTGAGAGGAAGCCATCTGATGAGGAATTTGCTGTGAGAAAAAGTATGACACTCGTAACTCTATTTAATTAAAGTTCCTTTAGGGCCTGTTTACACCTGGTCACTTCGGGTTTTTTACTGATCGGATAGCCATCTCATTTGTTAAAACGGTTCCATTTACACTTGGCCACATAAATGTGTCAACCTAGTCTTTTCAACCTAGTCATTTCTTAATCGGAGAGAGAAAACGCATGAAATGACCAGATGTAAACAGGCTCTTAGTTTTCACATATGCATGTGATGTATTTATTATACTAACACGTCACATGCATTGCTTTCTGTGTTTACTGTTTGCAAGAAAACAGTCCCTTTACAATCATCTCACAGTGTTACCTGATCAATTACATCTTTTCTGTTCTTCTTGTTTCCCATAAGGCACTGTAGCTCTGGAGGAGGATGCTCAGATCCTGAAAGTGATCGAAGCATACTGCACAAGCGCTAAAACACGGCAAACACTCAACTCAAGTATGTACTCTTACGTGTGTCATGTATTCTCTTGTGATTTTCATATTCTTTGAAATCTCACTTCAGTCCCAGACTGTGTGACACGAGTGTAATGAGTGAAGGAAATATAACTGTGAATCCCACATAATACCGTCATTTTTTTTGTCCCAGTTTAAAGGTTCAAATATACATTACCGTTCAAAAGTTTGGGGTCAGTATTATTTTTCTTTTTTTAAGAAATGAATTCCTTATTCAGTAAGAATGCATTAAATTGATCAAAATTGACAGTGATCAAAGAATGCAGAGAAAATTCAGTTTTGATAAAAATAGTAAGCAACACAACTGTTCTCAACATTGATTGAGCAGCAAATCAGCATATCAGAATGATTTCTGAAGGATCATGTGACACTGAAGACTGGATTAATGATGTTGAAATTTTTTTTGTCAAAAATAACATTGTCATCACCGGAATAAATTACATTTTAAAATGTATTAAAACAGAAACAGTTGTTTTAAATAATGTGTAATAATATTTCACAACAGTACTGTTTTACTGTATTTTTGATGAAATAGAGCCTTGGTGCGCATAAGAGACTTCTTTCAAAAAATTTTTTTTTTTTAATCGTACCAATCCCTAACTTCTGAACGGTAGTGTATTTGGGCTAGAAGGCCCATATTTGAAGTCCTACTGAAGTCTCTGATAAACATTCTTCGATATGTCTGTAAAATACTGCAACATCTTTTGATTATTTTTTAAATTCTTATGGCATTCTCTATTTAAATGTGTGTTGACTTAACTCTTTACCATGTTGCTCAATCTAATATTTTCTGCTCTTTTAACATGCATATTTGTCTCTTTTCCTCTCCCTTCCTTCATTCCTTTCTTTTTCACCCATTTCTCTCTTATGTTGTCCTGCCATTATTATTGCTTTTTATTATATTTTTTTATTTCATTTTGTCACTTATATATAATTTATTGGGCGTCCCTCACTTTACTCATCTTGGTTTGGTCCATCCTCTCAACCCACCCATCCTCTCCAATATGATTGGTTTGATTCCCCATCCCTGATTAGCATGGCAGGGCACTGATTTGATGCATAATCATGTGCTGGCTGATGTTGGCCAATCGTATGTGGATGCTGTGGGTTGTCGTAGCAGCGGATTTCCCTCTGACCAATCCGAAGACTCGGACTATGACACTATATGGATAACTCACACTAACAGAATTGGTTCTATGTCCCGTAAGAGCTGCTGCTCGTATATACACATCAAAATTAAAACACTTTTTTTCTTTTCTTTTGTTTGCATTGAAAGTGACGAGCTCTTTTTGAGGGCTTGAATATAAGTTAGTTGTTGTAGTTGGGAACATATTGAAGAGATGGTTGACATGAAAGAGCAAGAAAGATATTTTCACTGCTTTTGCTCCATGGCTTTCATAGGACAGAAGCATTCGCATTTAATAGTGCCCCATTCAAAAATTCTGTACGATTCAGTTACTATAGTTAACTAAAACTAAAAAAAATCTATAAAGATATATGTACAATTGACACAGTCTGTCAATGAGTCTGTTAACCAGTTACAGTTCAGTTGTTAACCTTACATTATTTAACTTCTTTCAGGATCAAGGAAGGATCCAGGCCCACATATGCTTTTTCCTGAGGAGGAGAAGATCATTGTGGAAGAGACAAAGAGCAATGGTCAAACCGTACTCGAAGAAAGGTTCGATCACTGCTTTATGCAGTTAATTTGCATTAAAATATTGCTATATTGTCATTAGGGCTCTCAGTTTAATGCAATCATTTATCAGGATTAATCTTACAATAATGTTGCACATAAAAAAAAGTTAATTGTCTTGTAGTTGTTCATGATTTTTTCATCTGGATATTCATTCCAGGAGTCTGGTGGATACAGTTTATGCCTTAAGGGATGAGGTTCAAGAACTTAAGCAGGTCAGTCCACATGCCACACGCAAACGTTCCTTTATGCTGAATGTTGAAAGTCTAAATCTGGTGCCGTGACCCGGATGCTCTGATTTTTTTTACATCACCAGGATAACAAGAGAATGAAGCGAACTCTTGAAGAAGAACAAAAGGCACGGAAAGAGCTGGAGAAGATTGTCAGGAAAGTGTTAAAGAGTATGAACGACCCGTCCTGGGACGAGACTAATTTGTGATCCCATCTGTGCATTTAGAAATGAAAACCGCATCTGATAATTGTGTGTTCTGTGTATTCTGTGTAAGTCCTGACCAAAAATGCTTGTAAATATTGTGACAAAATTGGACTTGATCCCTTCAGTCACAGTAGTATGCCTTTTTTAAACCTGATCCTTTTTAAGCCTTTTTTTTTGTTTTTTTGCCAGTGCCAAGTATCTAGTTGAACCCATTTTCAGATATGCTAATGATATAAGGAAATGTATTGAGGCTAGACATCATCTAGCAGAAACATACTTCTCGTCTCTACCGGATCAGGTGTGGTCTGGCAAAGCTGCCAAAAAATACTTCTTGCAGTTCGATCACTTAGTTCACCGTCACAGATGTCATTGGTTCCTAGTTTAAAACTGGGAGTCTCAGGGATGATAGACACACTGTACCTACAAATGTTGCCAGGCCTGCATCACTGCCTGCGTCCTCTGACTTTTAGAATCATAAGCCAATATGTTCAATAAGTGATGACATTCAGTAGAATTTTTCCAATGGAAAACCTTGCAATGCAATACTGGAGACAAATCTGAGGGAACTAGTCTTAAATGGTTACATTTCAAAGTTGCTTTTACAATAACCTCAGTTTTAATTTCGTCCGGTCGATCTTTTGCACCTTGCAGCTTGTATCTTCTTTTTCTTTTCTTTTTTTACTTTTATTATGGCCCTTTAACCCTACTTGTGCATTCACAGATTTTTGTTTTGTACAGAAATAATCCTTTATTGTATTTAATGCTCAGAAATGTGCCTTTTTTGGAAAAAGAGATTTCCAGAATTTTGTCAGCATTTCTAGCTCTGTCAGCATTGCAAAGAACCTTTGTAAGAAAACCGTATGCAAGATTTATTTTAAATGAACACTGAATCTGTGGGTAGGAACTGACAGATTAAGAGTCTTCTATGTTGTCTGTCTAATTTATGTATTTAAATGAAATATTGTCTACTGCAAAATGACTGTGTATTGTGAAATTTCCAGATAACCTCGACTACTTTCTCTTCCCAAAGCACTCTCGCTGTCTTACTCTATATTTCTTGCTGATTTAATTAATAAATACAAATTCTTACTGTGACTCTTTAAAAGGTATTTGTGCTTGTCTCATTCCTTTCTTGCACTATTAGTCATAACATGAGAAATCAGATATGCCTTGATTTTTTGACATGTACTAAGAGGTTTCATAGCATAACTTCCTGGAAGTTTCATAGCTTAAAATGGCCTCATTATAAATAAAGCATTTATTTAAAGCTGCAGTCCGCAGTTTTTCCTCTTTGTCGCCATCTCTGCCATCTGCAATTGCAGTTACTCACGGAATTATCAACTTTACGTGAGTTGTGCCTCGGCACGGCACAGCGCGGATGAATCCAATGTGGAGTGTGCGGCTGTCAGTCACCGCGCAGGTGTGGATACTGTCAGAATCCCAGATTATTCTTTTTGGAAGTATGACCAACATAATAATTTTCACCGGAAAATGTCATCTGAACAAGTAAGTAACATCCACTTTTGTTCTGGTTCTGACCAACTAAGGGAAAAAAAATCATTGCAGTAAATCGCGCTGATTAAATCTAACAATCACTTATATCACGTAAATCAGTGCAAATTATACTTTGTTCTTAAATTGTTAATGTTCAACATCAGCATTGCGTGACTACATTTAAAGCCCTTCCGATAAGTATCCTTGTTTTCGCATGGGCCTGGTTGCAGTCTCTTTTTTTCTGTAGCCACTCCGAAGTCTTTTGCATTTTACAACGGGTGAATCTGTTGTTACTGGTGATTGTCGTTTGAACCTTTCTGGATCCGCCATCAAATTGATAAGTTTAATTATAACAAGTGCTGTGAGAAAAGGTTATACATCTCCAACATTCTCACACGCAATATAGCCTACTAGCCGAGACTCCTTCTTTATGTGTACAGATGTGACGTAATGACGCAAAGACATGCTTGAATTTCCCGTGGATATCCACCAGTGCCACTGTAGTTAAAAACATTATTACAAGCTTAGCGTTTTGAATTGAGCTAAGGCAAGCAGAGAGTTTTGAACACTGGCTGGTTATGTATTTGCTCAATTTTATTTTGGATAATTTTTAACCCAAAAAACCTACGGACTGCAGCTATAATCAAGCTCCAAAAAGAGCTAGTTTTGATATTGTGTGACCAGTGATGTCCATAGGCCTTGAGATTTCACATAGTGTAACTGCGCAAAGCTTCTGTGTTGTACGTCACACGTAGGCTCACTATTGGCCGACACTGGTCATGTGTGTGATGTGTGTGACGTCCAACACAGAAGCGCTGCGCAGTTTCACTACGTGAAATCTCAAGGCCCACAGAAGTAAATGAATAGTTGAATAAAGTCGTTATTTTTGTTTGTTTTTTGCGCACAAAAAGTATTCTCGTCGCTTAAACTTAAGATTGAGCCACTGTAGTCACTTGGACTATTTGAACGATGTCTTTAACTTTTCTCGGCCAGCAAGTTTCAATCCCTTAGAAGCCTAGTGATCCAGCTCTCAGATTTAATCCAAAAAAATATCTTAATTTGTGTTCCGAAGATGAACGAAAGTCTTACGGGGTTGGAACATGAGGGTGAGTAATTACTGACAGAATTTTCATTTTGGGGTGAACTATCCCTTTAACATAAGTGAACCTCAAGGAACATTCAAATAATAATAAAAAATCCATGTCATGACCCCTTTTATTGTATGAATCTTGTCTTACTGAATCTTATCTTACTTACGGTAGTGTGTATTTTCAGACAATGTTATTTTACAATGAGGATTTTAATCTGCATTTGAACATGTTAACAAAACGTTGAACAAATGTTTGTTCATAACTTGCTAGAATGTCAGCCAAAGTTCTGAGAACGTTCCCTGTTAGCTAGCCAGTCAATTGCCATGACAAACTTCAGTTGTTCATTTATTAAATATAGCCCTAGCACATATGCACTGCTCACAGTACAGACATGGCACAAACCTTCTTTCTGTTATTTCCTCTTTTGTTTCATTCCCATTGTCTATGATAATCCAGGGCTGAGATGGCAACAGATGCACATGGAAGCCGCCGAACAGAAAAGGCTGAAACTCAAAAGAAGTTTGTGGATTTTGGATTCTCTTTTTGTGTACACCGGTAATGTGATGGATGTTCAAATGTTTCTCTTTCTTTCTCTCCACATCAAGTTATTTCTGTGCCGTCGCTCCGACCAAACTCAATATTCATTTGCAATCTAAATTCCTGGCTTGACGTCTCCTGTGCTGTTTCTTTCATTTCTGTGTATTGTAAGAAAGAATATCTGGATTATGATGAAAATGTCACTGGTTTGTTCATGGCTTTAGCATTGTTTGAGATGTTGGCACATCAATATTTCAACCCACAGGGCTGCGGTGCAGGTGTGGAAAAACTCTTGTGTGTGTGTGTCTGTCTGTCTCATATCTGTTTTTCCAACATCGCTACCTCCACCTCCACCCTATTATGGCAAACAATGACTCGCACCAAACGCTTCCAAAGACTCACAATCCTCAGGGACAGCAAGGCATTGTGGGAGATTTAATCACTGGCTGAGGCTTATGCAGAAGGAGGCAGGTTGTTCTTTTGTGTCAGAACTGAGGCAACTTTGACATTTTGAGAAAGACTGACGTTTAGGACACATTTACATAAGGACAAAGCCCAGAGAACGGAAGAGAATGGTACAGAGATAGACAGAAAATGTTAAATGTCACTTAATTGAGCCGCTCTGTGTGTTTCAAAAGTTTTAATTGTGTTAACCAAATCAAATTCCCTGCTACACTGACTGTACATGGACTGTCAGACTGTGATGAATGGCAGAAAAAATATTCCACATATATAATGTCTTTACACAAGGGCAAGTGTCACTTCCATTTCTATTCACATTATGCTATTCAAAATTATGCTAGTCACGGCCTTAGTCAGGATAGATAGACAACATTGATTTAATTTTGTGTGAATGAATACAAAGCTTTGTGGGATGTACACAAAGTTTTTTATGTTTTTTAAATGAAGTTTCTTACTAGGTTATTGGGGCTGTATTTAATAGTAATATTGTAAATTAAATATTAAACTGTTTTAATACACTTTAAAATTTAATTTATTCCTGTGATGGCAAAGCCGACGTTCAGCATCATTAGCTACTGCAGTCTTCAGTGTCACATGATCCTTCAGAAATCATTGTAATATGCAGATTTCCTGCTCAAAAACTTTTATTATTATCAATGTTGAAAACAGTTGTGCTGCTTAATAATTATCTACAAATATAAAAAAAATCTTTAAAACACTGCATAAGATATTGAGACTTGTTTGAAATGTATCTTTAAAACGTAAAGTGTATTTTGTCTTACTGTGGTATTTTTAAACTTAAAAAGTATGTTCAGCTATTCTGCATGGTTAATAAAATATTATAAATGGACATTACAAAAATATTTGATTGCATTGTTTCAGAACATTGAAAATGTGTCTGTCTAAATGATTGTGGGCCAGATTTACTAGTAGCTTGCGCCAGCGCAAATCCTCTTTTGGCGTTAAAAAACTACTGTCAGGATTCACTAAAGACACGCAGTGAAAAATGAGCGCTGAAAAGGCTTGGACACCGTTATTTTTGTGGCTGACCTTATTGCATATGTATTTGTAGGAGTTTCCCTTTCCAGACGCAAAATGTAGGCTATGGAGAGTATTTAAATGAATCACGCAAGGTGATTTACTAAGGTTTGCACAAGTCAATTTACTGGTATTTGCACCATTATTTACCGCCCCAAAAATCATGTCTTAAACCAGACGCTAATTTGCGCTGCTCTTGGTAGATTGTGTTGGTCATTATGGAAATGATCCGGCTGCGTCTGTGTTCTTTAATTTGTGTGTCGTCAGTGGATCACGTGCAGAACTTTCCACTCCCATCAGCGCTGTTTTGGAATTTAGCTCTCATGCTAATTTCCCCTGTTTAGTAAATCTGGCCCTTTGTCTGTAAAACTTAGGCCTGACCGAAGCTG